CTTATGGGAGGCTATAACTTGTATATAACCCCTCTCTTGTTGCTCCTAAAATTCTTTGTCTTTGACTTCTGACAACTTAATTATGTCTTATAGTGCTACCTGGGTTCAACCTATATGAATTCCTTTGGATCTCATGGATCAGGATGTCCTTTTCTCTCACCAGGTTTGAGAAGTTTTCAGCCATTGTTGCCTTAAATATATTTTCTTTTTCTTTTTTCTTTTTTTTGCCATTGTTGCCTTGAATATATTTTCTGTCCCTTTGTTCCTGATCTGGAATTCTTATAATACTAACATTGTTTCTTTTCAATATGTTCCATTTTGCCATAGGCTTTCCTCATTCTTTTCACTTTTTGCTTCTCTGACTGGGTAATTTCTAATGTCCTATCCTCTAGGTCACTGATTCTTCCTTCTGTATGGATAAGTCTACTTTTGAAACTCTCTACTGAATTCTTCTGTTCAATTATCATATAGTAGACCCTTGAACACCATGGAGTAAAGGGTATTGACCTCCCATGCAGTTGAAAATCCATGTATAACTTTTGACTCCCCCACTCAAAATGTAACTACTAATAGTCTACTATTGACTGAAGCCTTACTTATAACATAAACAGTTGATCAAAACATATTTTATATTTTATATGTATTGTATACTGTATTCTTACAATAAAGTAGGCTTGAGAAAAAATGTTATTAAGGAAGTCATAAGGAAAATACATTTACAGTACTGTACTGTATTTATCAAAAAAAAAAAAATCTGTGTATAAGTGAATCTGTGCAGTTCAAACCCATGTTGTTCAAGGGTCAACTGTACTTTTCAACCCCAGGATTTTTTTTTTTTTGGATGGCTGCTTTTTCCTTGTCAAAATTCTCATTTTGTTCATGCATTGCTTTCTGAATTTTGTTTGTGTTTTCCTGCAGTTCACTAAATTTCCTTAAGAGGATTACTTTGAATTCTTTGACAATTCTTAGATCTCCATTTCTTTAAGATCAGTTATTAGAACTTTATTAGTTTCCTTTGGTGGCATACTTATCTGATTTTTCATGATCCTTGATTCCTTATGTTGTTATTTGAGCACTGGAGTAACTGGGCTCCTCTTTCAGACTTTACAAGTTTTCTTTGATAGAGACTGTTTTTTTACCAGTCAGCTCAATTTGGGTTTCTGGGTTTGTCTACTGCTAACATCCACAGGTAGCAGGGACTGCTATTATGGTCTATTTTGGGGTGAGGCAACCGTTCAAGCTCTGAGGATGGGGACGGGGAGTGTGCCTCTGGTTGAGAATAGTTGGATAGGAATGTTGGCTTGGTTCTCGACTTGAGTGAGGCTGTGGAATGGATTCCATGATTGCCTGGATTCTCTAGTCATGCTTATTAGATGGTTAGTACTCGGTACTATATTCAGTAGTATATGGGGCTATGAATTAACTTCCTTGCCGTGGCAGGGAAGCAGGATAAGACCCAGGGCCTATATATAGCTCATTGTTTGGGGACCCAAATCAGGCCAGAGTGTGCACAGAATTCCCTGGTCAGGTGACGTCACTGGTTTTGCTCTGCAGATAAGGGATGACATGGGCAGTGCTCTCTGTTCAAGTACTACTATAAGTAGGGCTGTTGAATGGGCTATGAAGCTTCCTGTGTGTTCTGGTTAAGTTCCCTGGTTGGACAGGCTGAAGGCTGTATTCAGTAATGAGCGGGTCTATGAATTAGATTCCTTGCCTAGGTGCAGTGAGAGAAGCAACTCTAAAGCTGGAGAGCTCTGGAGCTCCCTGGGGTCTAGTGGTTAGGATACGGTGCTCTCTAAAATTGGGAAAGCTCTTTGTCGTCTTAACTCAAGCCAACCTGCACCCCAAGTTTCCTAGCTGAAGAGGGCCACTGGCTTTGCTTTGTAAACTATTGACTTTGCCTTTCTCTAGACTCAAGCATTGCTGGACCACACACCTTCCAGGAGTTGTTGCCAGCCCTTTTGGTCAGATGGGCTAAAAGACACATTCCACAGTGGTGTTATGTGTCAGCTCCCTTAACTGGGCAGGAGGGAAGAGGCTACTCCAGGCTACTCTCCAAATTTTCCAATATTCTCCTATTTCCCAAATAGGCTCTCCAGTTGGGAAGGGCTGAGAGCTACCACCACCCTTGGCTATGAATTAATCTTCCTGCCTGTGCATAATAAAAGAATCCTTCATACTTGGTACTGGATTTGCTCTGGGGCTGATCAGCTCTGCCAGCCTGCCTCCTGGCTGGAGTACCACTGAGCTTCCAGAAGTTGTAGCCAATGCTTATGCTCACTGGGACCAGAAGATACTCTCAACAGTGGGTGGGGCTGTAACTCAGCTCCCTGCGTGGGAGTGGAGCAAACCAGACTCTAGAGATGGCAAAACTCCTCATCTGAGGATCTGAATCAGTCAGATGTGCACCCCACTGAGTTTCCTGGTCAGAGTGAGCCCCTGACTTGGTTTTGCAGATGAGCAAATCCACCAGTTGGGATTATTACTTGGGCACTACAGGTATGAACTTGGTCTGCCAATATCCATGTGCTGATTATTGCAAGCCCCTTCCCCCTTCTCCATCCCAGTCAGATTCTCAGTGGTTGAGCCCCACAGACATCCCTGCAATAACTGTGGGGCAAGATCAGAGGATGGGCTTTCATAAAGTAACCCCCAATGTTGGTGGGGTGGCTGTGCTCCCTGGGTTCTTTTCCCACTGGAGGAACCAGAAGCTCAGGGGAGACCTCTCCATGTGCTGCTGCACTGGCCTGAAGGGAGACACAATGTGGTCAACATGCAGCTGCTTCTCTTGCCCTTCTGATGAAGTCTATCTTGGTCTCTGAGGTAGAGGAAGGTGCAAAAGCCTCACCCCCATGTTCTAGGATTCTTTCAGTGGTGTCTTGTTTTTTAATAGCCGTTAGTTGTTCTTGTGGGGGGAGGCACAAAGTCAGGAACAACCTATGTTGTCATCTTAGTGAAATCACTCCCTGCCCTGTAATTCTTAACTTTCTTGATAGGTCTCTGATGTTCTCAAACCAATTAAAAACAAATACGCACACATGTGTACACACACACACACACACCTTCAATATTTTTCACTTTTCTCAGAAGGAGAGTTGGTTCTAATGATCTAGTCTGCCGTTATTGGAAATGGGTTTCTATCACTGTCTTTGTTTTTTGCACATGCTATCCTGACTAGAATATAAAATATTTCTGTGTGGACAATATATCCTATGCATCCAGAACCTAACAGGCTGCCTGTCATACAATAAATTAATTGCTGGATTGGAAAAATAACAATGTGTAAGTCTTGGCAACTAATGAGAATACGTGGCCTGATGATGGAAGAAGAATAAAATTAAATATAACTAAGATTTCTAAAGCTTGACTTTAGAAATGGTCATGGCATTCCTAGGTTTAATAAAAGAAGTCAAGAGAAGAAAGAAAGAGGAGTAGAATTGGTGGGAAGTTGACTTTGGTTTTTGGATATGCTGAATTTGATGTATCGGTAAGGTACTTAAGTGAAAGCGGTGGGAATAGATACCTGATTCCAGGTATCAGTTGTCAGGATAATTCCTAAGAGAAAGGAAATATTAAGAGAAAGGAGCTGAATATAAAAATATTAGAGAACGTCTAACTATATGTAGGAGGTTAAGTAAGAGGAAGAACCTTTCAGTAAATAGAAGGATGTGCACAGCAGGAAAAAGAAACTCAGAATGCCACTTAATGGAAGAGAAGGAGGACAAGAGTTGGGAGAAAAAAACAATTATTAAATGGTCAAGTGTGGCTAAAAGGTCAATCAGGCTCTGGAATGAAAGAAGTCTTATAATACATACATACCATCTATCTTCTAAGTAGTAAAAGAAGGCAGGAACGTGGAAGGCTGGAGGGTGTTTAATTTTTAAGTGAGAAGAAAAATTCAGAAAAGAATGGAGACAATTTTAAGTTGTCATTAGAGGAATAAAAAAATTTATAAAGAGATTTGAGGTCTCAAAAGAGGGAGGCAGTCAATATTTGCAAAATTATGTGACTTTTTTCCACAGGTTAGTATCTTGTGGTGAACTCAAGAGAGGAAACTACTTTTAGGAAAGCATGAGAAATTCACTTGTAGACAATTTTGAAGATTGGTAAACATGGAAAAGAGAATGGAGTCTGCAAGCAGATTTGGGAGTTATCTACACAGAAATGATAGTTTAAAACAATGGTATATGTAGTATTTATATGTCATAATTTCTATCAGTAAAAAAATGGTTATTTTCTCTCTTACAGAGAAATAATAACTAATCCAAAAATAGTTTCTATCTCGGTTAGTAAGTGTGGATTTGTTTTTGAGAACCTTAAAATTGTCCTATTTTAACTTGAAGAATAATCCTATTACAACCAAATGGTTATCAGAATCCTAAAATTGTAATTAGCAAGAGGATATTCATGAAACTTGCCAGAAATGTGAATGTAAGCTTGAGTACTGAACCAATATTATGGAAAAATTCTCCCATCTCTGCCTGTCTGTGCAATGCATTATTGGAATGCATTGGAAATAATGCAAATAATGCAAATAATCCAAATAATGCATTATTTGGAAAAAAAGACAAAACATATGCAGGGCTACTATTTTACCAGTAATACAATGGCCACAATTGTTTATCATCAATTTCTGTTCTCATTAGCTACGAGTTTAAGCTGTACTGGTTGTAAAACATTTTAAATATAACTCTTGTTCATATGCTAAGTCACTGAATTACTTATATATAACATTTCAATGCTTCTAAAATTCTAAATTACAATTGACACAGACTACTTTACCATTACACCAACTCTTTGGGACAAAAAGGAATCATTAGCGTCCCCACTTTAATAATGATTAAGCTAAGATACAGCTGCTGCATACTTCTTTGTTACTACTCACACTATGCTCAAATTCAAAGCTTCTTCCAACAGTAAGAGTGACCCTGAATAAATTCACCTGGGCTAAAAGTCATTTCATTTACAAGACAACATAGTTATTATTAAAATTCTCATACCATTTGGTGATGCCATAACATTCTTTAATAATATCCTGAAGGACGGCTCGATAGAAGAGTGATTCGGTAGGCAGCTGAAAAAAATGTAGATATATATATGAGCACAAGAAACAAAAAACATAAATTGAATCAATACTAGAGAGTCAGGACCATAAGTGAATGTTAGAAACCTGACTTTGTTACAAAACATAGAGGACACTTTAAAAATTTTTTCATTCTAAGTTACATTAACACCCTGTAGCTAAAATTCACTGAGAAAGTATTCTGCATGAAAATAGAAGAAACTATAAGAGAAATGGTAGTGAGTGAGGAAGAAAAAGCAAAATCAAAGAAAAATGAGCTAATGTCCCAAATGGAGTGCCGTTCAATTTAAAAAGTGGAAATAAATTTTCACGACCAGCCAAATCAGCTCTGGAGCCTGTAAGAGAGCAGTCAGGTAGAATACGTGCAAAAGAGAAGAAAACGTGGATTTGTCCTAATGGCGGTGGAACAGAGATAGTATCATTTAGGATTCACACCTGCAAAGAGAAGGTACTATCCTAAGGACATTCTAAAAATATGTCTGAGCTCTGAAAGATCATAGCATTGGCTACTGTTGAGTTGAAAAGGATATGCTTTTTGTCTTTTAGAAAGGACATAGGATCAGGTATCCATGAATGTTTTCCAAAGGAAAGAAGGTATGGCTGAAAAGAAAGGCCCCAGTGAAACATAATTTTGAAGAAGTAGAAGGTAAAAAAAAAAGTACTACACATAAAATAAAACACTTCACTGAAAAAATGGAAGTGGTACTCAAACTAAGAAACTACAAAAGTCACCCAAACTCCATCCATATCCCCCCAGACCTCTTAATATTGACAGTGTAAATAAATCTAACATGAAATATCAAATATTATCAGCAACAACCCTGGTTCCATGCCAAGTTACTAATGGAAAAAAAAAAAAAAGGAAAGAAAAATGAGCCAGAGTAGCGGGAGGTCAACAATATCGTATGGTTCTGAAAAGTCTAATAAGGTGAAAACTCCAAACTATGCAGTGATTGGTAAAGTTTTAAAGACAGAGGTCAGTAGACTGTATATATTCCCTGAGTTATCCTTTTGTAACTTTTATTCTCCTTCCTAGCACAGAATTGTTATTTTCATCTGTTTTCAACTAAAATATGTTCGGATTCAGATGGAGTTTAGCACAAAATAAAATCTTGCCTGTGTGCTCAGGCAGAAAACTTAACTCTACTGCTCCTATCCTCATCTGACCGCAAGTTCCTACACTGTGGGCCCCTGGTGCTGAAACTACAAAAAAACACAAATTGGGGAGTTGAGGGTCAACCAACCATTATTTCTTGGGTCTTGTCACTGGACAATGTCTGACTTGCAAGATCTTGATAGAACACTTGGAAAGAACACACGTTATATCCTTTCTGGATGGTGGGAATAGTGGGGAGGGTGATTCTAGTCAGAAATGGTGTTAGGAATACCACAGTCCCCAGTTCAGCTCCTAAAATAACACACTGACAGCAGACATCCATACATACTTGAGTGCCCACAGTAAAATTTATAACCTTCAAAAGACACACTTCTTATATAATATCTCTTTCTAAATACAACTCCTGACTTAAGACAAACTGATTTCTAAACTTTTTTTCTGGAAGACTGCTCCAAAACATTTCATTCTAAATTTCCCATCTCCGGATATACTTTCTTTCTTTTTTTTTTTTTAATTTATTTATTTGACAGAGAGAGAGCACAAGTAGGCAGAGTGGCAGGCAGAGGGAAAGGGAAAAGCAGGCTGTCTGCTGAGCAGGGAGCCTGATGCGGGGCTCGATCCCAGGACGCTGGGATCACGACCTGAGCCGAAGGCAGACGCTTAACCGACTGAGCCACCCAGGCACCCCTTGATATACTTTCATTTGGCATTTTTTCATCTTCAGTAATTCTTTTTTGCAGTACTAAAAATCTCTATCATCTGTCCCTCACATCTCCCCAAATCCCTTCAGTTTTCTCACAAAAATGCTGAAATCCCCTTTCATACATTAACACCTATTGTTCTATTGAAATTCAAGGCATTCTGGGAAATATATTATTACATAAAGTAAAATATTAGCATTAGTATTATAAATGCTTACGAAGTTCTTAATTTTTTATTTGGTTAAGCTATATAATAAATAGGAAGTTTAATTTTATGTAAATTTTATATGAAACTCTAAAAATAGAGCTGGTATCTGAACTGAAGAAGCCTAGCTCAGATGTCCCTGTACCAAGCCATAATGCTATTTTGCCTCTTGGACACTTGGGCAGGGATGAGGTATCATTAGTTTTATTATGTACTTCATTTAGGGAAAAAAAATCTTAAAAATATGGTGTGCCTGGGTGGCTCAGTCAGTTAAGGGGCTGACCCTTGACTTCGGCTCAGGTCATGATCTCAGGGTCCTGGAATTAAGCCCCATGTCCAGCTCCATGCTCAGTGGGGAGTCTGTTTAAGGATTCTTTTTCTCCCTCTCCCCTTCCCTCTGCTCTCTCTTTCTCTCTCTCTCAAAACAAAAACCAAAAAACTCTTAAAAATAAAGCTTTCCATTCCCTGCCTTTGAGAAAAATTATATAAATGGTAGCAAGATAATTTAGAAATAAATGTATATTTATATTGTTATTAAAAACTGGTTGAAGACGACAAAAAGAAAAAAAAAACAAGAAATGCATTTAAACAAGAGATTATACAAAAATGCATACAGAAATACAAACAGGATAGAATAAATCATCATTCCCAAGTTATCCTGAGTAAATAAGAGCTTTACAGCTGTTTCCTAAGAGAAAGGGAAGAGAGTTATGAAGTACCTTCAAATGTGCATTCCTGGAGTAACTAGGACTACCCATCCTGGTAAATACGTACTGGGGGTAAGTGGGAAGGGAATCAACAGCTCCCCACCCCTGTCTGTCTGACTATTCCAAGAATAAACTGGATGTGGCTCAGAGTTTACTTTCCTTCACAAGTGATAAATCAACTTAACACTTTAATGCATTTTAAATGGGAGGGAGCAAAAACAGCACACCCTTAAAGTATATTATCTTAGGCATGCATTTTACAGGTCTAGTGGAAAGGGCTCTAAGCTGGAAGTCAGTACTCTGCAATTAATTAAGGGAGCTAGAATGCACTATTAAACTTCTGCTGTTCTGCTGTGTATCATGTTCTCATGTAAGTTTGGGATAATACCCAACTTATAAGATTACTGTAAACATGAGTAAGCACTTGGGAAATTGAAAAATACCACAAAAATGCACAGGAACATTATTATGATAAAGTCTCTTTCCTCTTCCATATCCCTAGGGAACCACTAGGTTGATATGCAATATAGCTGTTAACTGCAAACCAGGAGTTTGAGACTAAAGCCCACACACCTAAACAATATGCTCTAATGCCTTTAAAAAATCAGTTTTTATCAACTTTTAGATAGGTACAATGAATACATTTTTTAATGAGATTATGGTTGTTATGCAGAGTTAAGTCTTTATCTTTTCCATTGATAAGAGTTTCTAGAGATTTATTTTTTAATTTTTTTTAAAGATTGTATTTATTTATTTGACAGAGAGAGAGAGAGAGAGAGAGAGACAGCAAGAGAGGGAACACAAGGAGAGGGGAGAGAGAAGGAGAAGCAGACTCCCCACCGAGGAGGGAGCCCAATGCGGGGCTTGATCCCAGGACTCTGGGACCATGACCAGAGCCAAAGGCAGACACCCAACGACTGAGCCACCCAGGCACCCCCAGTGAATACATTTTTTAAAGAAAGTTCTTAGCATCATGACTGGCCCAGTAAATACTCAGTAAATGATATTTGTTGCTATTGTCATTTTCAAATTATTATTTTTAAAAATTTAAATTGACATACTAACATTCCTTTAAAAAAAAGCAAAAAAGAGATTTCTAAAATTTAGGTCTAACAAGAAAAATCTTGTGAAAAGCTTAAAAAGAATTCTTAAAAATTTTTTAGAAATTCCCAATATGTTTCATGAATTATAAGGTAGAAGATAAGGCAATTACACAGATATTCTGGGGATACATTTAACTTCTGTTTATATGTGCAAGCCCATTTGGCTATTTCAACTAATGACTAATCAAGTAAAATAAGGAAAAGAGTTAAAAAAAAAAAACAAAATGTGTGTTTTGGACTATAGGTAAAAATAAACTGAATGCTATATCATGTTTACCTTTGCTTGAACTAAGTCCATAAAAGCCTAATAGTCAGCAACAGCAGTCTTTAGAAATATTTATAGACTGTTTATTATGAAGAAATGAGACATTAGTACAAGAAAAGAATGTAGAAGTTTTCTTAAAAGTTCAATTTACTTTTTCTGAAAGTTCACTTCTCTTTTAAAGTAAACTTACAGAAAATGTATAAATTTGAATATGAAGAGGTGATATTTATTAAAAGCCATCAGGTTTTAAGTTCATCAGCAGGTCAAGTACGAAGAGTACTTTAAGGAACCATCATGTCCATCTGCTATATTAGAGTAAACATTCTTACTTACCCCTTGGCCAACTGCAACTCGTTCCAATGCCTTTGGAGAAAAAATAAAGAGAAAAAGATAAGACAGAGACTGCTCATATATTTAGTCTTACCTTATAAGACTTATAAACACACTGTATAAGGGCTTATAAAAGTGACATTAAAAAAGATTAATTGATAACATGTAAGTTTATACATTTAAAAGTGTTAATATCATTAAGGAATGTTAACCGGTATACTTGTATAATTTAGGGTTGATTTATAATAGATGTGTGTCATGTACACAAGCACAAACATACCTCAACTGTATACACTCCTTCAATTTTAGAAAAAATAAGAAAACGAAATGAAATAACATGCTCTTGGCTCACTTTTAGTTTAGCTAAAACAATCAAATAAATCCAAAACTATTATTTTTTTAATCTAAAGCTATTATTATGTGTGTGTATATACAACTTTTAACTTATTTTCATCTAATTTTTTATAAACGTAGTTTCATATTTTATTATAGAAGGTAATATTGAACAGACTGTATTTTAAAACTTAGTTTAGAAAAGTATGTATAGTTTTGATCTGCCTGGTCTGCAATTCAAATCAAATTCACATATGATCAAGTGCCCAGTAGAAAAGAAAGTAATACATATTTTTATAATTTTATACATAGCTAGTTTTTATATTTATATTTATTTAAGATCCAGAACATTTTTAGAAAATATTTCCTAATATTTCTAATAAATACTCATAATCCAACATATATGAAAGGTTATTTGAAAGATTTGCCATAATTTAAATATGGAATAGAGGCTTCTAAAACTTTCATTTTTTAAGAGACATAAATTTCCACACTTACGCAGTTTATATTTATATATATTATATATAACTGATTTATATATATTATTTATAACTGAATTACATTAAAATATTTTAATATTTATATTTTTTTAAATTTTAAATAGTTCAAACACAAAGAAGTAAAATATAACAGATCTGCATATATTTCCTATTCCATTTTAAAAGACTCATATTCGCTTTAGATAGGTGTTCTTCATAATCATATACTTGTTAGATATAGCTGAATCATATACTTCTAAGACTAATGGTAATTTACAGATTATCCTATATAAGTACAATTTTTTCAGCTACACAAGCTCACTGACAAGGTAAAGTACTTGCCACAAGTTGTATACCTAGGTAGCAAGTGAGCAAGAAGTAAAACTTTGTTCTATGAACCCTGATTAACTTCTCCTGCCCTCATACCATGAAGATTTAGTGGGAAAATGAGTTCACTGTATAACAAGTTGCTTCACAGAAAGTGTTTGAAGAAAAAAATTGCAATTTTTCCATTGACTTGAAGGATACCTTCACTGAACATTTAAAGCCACAGATTTATGAATACAGGAGATATTATGTAATTTTCATATTAAATTAAACAACAGGCCCAGAATAAGTTTATTATTGAAGAAAACACTGATTTTCATTTACAGTACTATTTGTGCTCATTTCAGATTAGATTTTTGTGTTATGGCTTTTGCTAAAAGACTGAACTGAATAAAGAAACAAGAATTTTTAATAAGTTGCTTGGTGTTGATAAAAGTATCTGCTTTTAGGTAAGTATAACTAGTTAAAAGTAGTCAATAACAAGACTACTTTTAGTATGTGTTGCTGATGAGGGATTTTAGAAATACAAATGATAAATTAGGATGACATAATAAAAGATAACCAGGTAGGTGATAAGAAGTTTCTTGCAAACATTAGTATTTTTCTTGGCCAATAAATAAAGATAATGAAGAAAATAAACCAAGTGTTCATGTCATACTAATCTAAAATATTTTGCAGTTTTATCAGGGTTAAAGTATGCTGACAAGATTGTATTAATCTAATTAAAATTTTATCTCTGGTTAGTACCCTTAACATTTATCTGAAAGCATCACCAGAAAGGTCTTGTTCTCCTTTTTTAACCCCTAAGGCTTTGATTATTTGTGGAAAAGGTCAGGTATGGAACAAAAGGCAATAAAAAATGCACAAAAAAAATGTTCCTTAGCCTCCAAAAAAGAAGCCAAGGTAGCCAGGGACTGGGATGGAGCCAAGGAGAGGGGCATTCCATAGGAAGCTGACATCGGTCAGGAAAAGTTATTAAGTGCAGTGTGGTCTATAAATTCTATATTCTGAAATTTATTTTTCAAAAATGCTTTTTGTTTCTTTGAATGTTTATTTTCATAGCAACCACTTCTGTTTTATGAATGCAGTATATTCTTTTATCTAAGGGATATTAATAGCTATTTTACATTATTTTATTTTATTTTGTATAGTCTCCACTTCCACCAAGTTTCTTTTCTTCTGCTTATCTGATTTCTGTTCTTTCACGTTAGAAATTCTTTAGGTATCTAGAGATTCTTGGCTGTCTGCTGATAATTAAAATAGGGGTATCATAAACCTGATTAGAAGTATTATGCTCATGAGTGAGGACTGCTAATTGTGGGCTTCATCATAAAGATGACATGTGTCCTGCTTATTACCACAATGCATGTAAAGTAGTAGATAATGTTGTAAGGGCAAGTCATTTTTTTCTTAAAATTTGCAATGCACAAAAGCATTAATAATGATGCTCTGCAAAACTTGGCATTTAATTCATGATATTAGCCAACAATAATAAATTCTGCAACATCTGGATAAAGCTTAGTTCAGAAAAAAATATAATCATACCAAACATGCTGACATTCTTGCATTTCGACCACAGCACCATCTCTCTTCCTTTAAATACTGGCACATTGGAAATCCCCACTTTTCTTGGGTACTTTCTGCAGATGGAAGAAAAATATGGATTATTTAAATAAGATTCTTCCTCTTTCAGTTAAAGTAAACAATCTATTAAGAAAGAAAAGCAGTCATTGAGAGTCAAACAGTAGTTAAACATGGAGGTAGTAATGTTTAACAGTTCGTGCCAATCTGTTAATTGAAAGCATATTAATGTTATGAAAGTGGTATTTTCAACAACAGCTGTTTTGTGTTTAAGCTTTAGGTCTGATACTAACCAAATTGCCAAAATTATTTTTCTAAGATTTAGCAAAAGCAATTTAAAATGGAAGTACTCTTCATGTTCAGTGTAACTATAGGAAATAAGTAATGAGATACTGGACATTTACTGCTGACCTGATTAGATTTCTAAAAAAAAATGATTTGTTAAATGACATTTGGTAATTTATTATAGAACAATATTAATTCATCCCTAATAACGATGAAGCCTCAATTTTTTTTTCAGCCACTATATTCACTTTCCAGGAAAAGAACAGCTGTATAAGCTCTTCTTTTTCATTTTATTAACAGGCTGCAATATTTTCAGTTGTGATCCAATTTGGCTCAGTTGCATATATGGTTTAAGTAACAACAACAAAAATCAACATTCACTGCTTAATCACACATATCTTTTGCCTAACTCACTTACAGAGTTGCATATGCAATTTGCGGATGTTCAAACCCTTAATGCAGAACTATTAATTACACAGGGATTTTGAAAAGGAAAACAAATTTCTTTTTTAAATTGAAGCCTAAAAAATAAGAGCTTAAATTTTATCAAGACTGTGACAATTTAAAGAAAAATACAAATTTTCTATTAGGTTAAAAAGTAAAAATAGAATTAAAACCTCGAAAACATAAAACACTTTAAAAGAAAACAGTATTAAAAAAATAAATAAAAAGAAAATACTGTTGAAGTAGAATCCACTAGGTAAATTTCTCTGCTATGAAGGATCAGATGACTTTTGATTCAAATAGTGAAAATTTAAATTTCATGCATATCATATGCCTGTGAGAGTGGTTTCTTTCAGTTCATAAATTAAAGTTTATAATAGACTTTACTGATAATCAGTTGGAAGACATGGACCTTTCCCTGGGAATATAAATAATAATAATGCTAGTGTTTATATAGCACTTAATATTGTGAGGCACTATTGTAAGTGCTTTAAATGTATTAACTAACTAGCTTTAGTCCCTACAGCAACTCTTTGAAATAGGTACACTATTATTCTCATGGCTTAGCTAGGGAAACTAAGCACAGGCAGGTTAAGTAAATTGCCTAAGTTGCAAAATCTAGCACATGGTGGGGTAGGATTTAAACAGAGGCAATCTGACTCCAGAGGCCATACTCTTAACCACCAAGCTATATAAACAATTTCAATTACACATGCACAGGACTTGTGGAGCCCTTGAAGCCCATCCAGGTCCTGGGGACCCTTGGACTACTTCCTCTAGTTCCAAGATGACTTGGAACAGCAGTTTGAGTTTTATTTAAGGCTTTATAATTTTACTGAGACATGATTACCACTAAATAAAAGAATTACTGTAAGGTTTTTTTTTCTTCTTATAACCAAAAAGAGAAATATCTAGATCTTACTGTAAAGGGTAAGGGGCTAGAGAGATAGGTTTGTGCTATTTTACTCAGAATAGTTAGGAAAGGTGCTAACCAATAAAATAGCTATATCTTCCCTTTCTCCTAGCCATTCTCTTACTCCTTGTGACAGTGATCCCAATGATGGGATTAGTCCTGGCAGTCCCTAGAAAGACAGTGGTAAAGCTGTGAGTGTGTGGTAGGGGGAAGAGGGGTGGGAATTATCCAGCGGAATACTGAGTTCTGGGATTCCCAGATTTCTAGTAATAAAGAGAAGATGAAGGCAGGGATACATAAGACCCCTGGTATCCCTCTTGATTTCAGATGACATAAATATGGAAGCCACCAGCGGAGGCTTCTGAGCACATGGGGCTGTCATTAGAAAAATGAAGACTAGTAAAAGAAGGTCTTACTGAATGATCACTAACTTGTACTGATGAAGGTGATGAGGGTAGAGAAGGGATATGGTGTTCCTAAGGGCACATAAAGCTATTCTTTTCCACTACAATAAAGGCCTACAGAAGGGTAGTTTTTGTGTATAAGGGAGCTTCCTCTCCAACCCTACATAACTGTGATGGCAGAAGAGCAATCTTACTCGATGTATACGGCTCCCTGAATCTCTGGCCAAAACACCTAAGATCCTAGGGCTCTTATAGTTTATAGGAATTGCCAGCCTTGGTTCAGGGTTATGTAAAATCTCATCAAAGCCTCCTTCCTTTGGACACCTGGTGGTTGTGGAATCTCCTTGAAGTTTTCTGAATCTACATCACAGTTTCCTCTGTGGTTGAGGTCATGGTGGCCTCACAGCTCTGCTCATTTTTTAAAAGTAAGTGCAAACAACTGATACAGAGGCAGGACATCCTCAAAGTCAAACAAAGCCTTTCATGTACAGGTTCAATATTATCTTTGGAATCTATTTCAGCAGCTTCATTTTGACTGCAGTGAAGAAGGAGGCTCACTTCTATGTCCTGAATCCAAGTCACAGAGTTCGGGTTTCTACTGATATCAATCTCCTATTTAACTGTGTTCATACATTTAAATCTAGTCAAACTGAGCTTTAACCACCCTTATCAGTTGCTTTTCCCTAGGATCATTTTCAGGTTATCTTTAAATGATAATTTTGGAATAGATGAAGTCTCTTGTTTTTTTCTTCTATCCCATTTCTTTTTTGTTGGCTTTAGAAATCCATTAATCTCATAAAAGGAGAGCTTCTACTAGTTCTTCCTTCTTGTGTTAATAATATTATTATCCACTTAATTAAGCAAGTTTTAAAAACCATCTTCTATTATTCTTTCCTTTAATCCCCAAGTTCTTATATACACAACCTCTTAATTATACCTCCTTTTCATCTTCAATCTTCATTAGCTCTTGACTGGGTAAATGCAATACCTACTTACTAATTCTCTTTTTCTCTTTCCTTTAGTCTTGCCCATCCTTTATATTAAGAGGAACATTATCTTTCTAAAATAGACACATCTAGAGCACCTGGGTGGCTCAGATGGTTAAGCATCTGCCTTCGGCTCAGGTCATGATCCCCGCATCCTGGGATCAAGTCCCGCATCGGGCTCCCTGCTCCTTGGGAGCCTGCTTCTCCCTCTGCCTCTCTCTCTGTCTCTCATGAATAAATAAATAAAATCTTAAAAAAAAAAAATTAAAAATTTTAAAAATTAAAAAAAAAAATAAAATAAAATAGACACATCTAACCATGTCACTCCAATAGCTCTTGTTTCCCTCACCACTAGCATCTATGAGACAAAACCTAATGCGTATTTTTCTTACTGTGGATTTTCAGGAGGTTCTGATACTCCTTCTTTGTAATATTCTCTCCCTCTGGTTCCATGATACCATGCTCTCTTATTTGTGGCCTAATGCTCTTCATATCCCCTGATAGTTTGTTATTTTGTGTCTACTGAATGTTCATAAGGATTAATCCTATCCCCCCCTTCAAACTTTTTTGAAGGATTCAAAGTGAAATGATTTCAGTTGGTAAATAAATGTATGAAGCAGCTAGACAGAATAAAATAGGTACTAATCAATTTGTATGGTAACTAAGTATCTCATTTGTCCAGTCTTATTGCTACTTAAAGCATAATTTGGGCATAGCATAATACAACTGTCAAAATTGCCCAAAATGAGTCTGGGGGCACTCACTATCAGTGAGAGCCAGTGTGTAACCTCTGCTCCATCTCTATGCTTTCCCTAGGCAATCTTACCTATACCTCAATATACACTAATGATTCCTGTAGTAATTTCCCAGGGCTGCTGTAACAAATTACTACACACTTGGTAGCTTGAAACAACAGAAAGGTATTCTCTTACAGTTCTGGAGGCTAGAAGTCTGAAATCAAGGTATGGGCTGGACCATGCTCTCTCTGAAGGCTCTAGGGAAGAATCCTTTCCTTGCTCCTTCCTAGCTTCTGTTGGTTGCTGGCAATCCTTGGCATTTCTTGGCTTATAGTTGTACCACTCCAGTTTCCGCCTCTGTCTTCACATGGCTGTCTTCCCTCTGTGTCTCTCTGCTTCCTCTCCTCTTCTTATAAGGACACTCACCATTGGATTTAAGGTCCACCTTATTCCATTATGACCTCATCTTAACTAATTACATCTATAAATACCCCATTTCTAAATGAGGTCACATTCTGAGGTTCTGAGTTGATGTGACTTTTTGGGAGACACTATTCAAGCTACTCCAATTCCTAAATTACATCTTCAACGACTCTTCTCTAAGATCTAATTCTACATCACAAATAGCCTAACTACCATCTCCAAATAGTTATTTCATTGGCACTTGATAATCAACATGTCCAAAATCTAAATAACTGAATGACACAAAACCAGATATCCTAAAGTTTCCTATTTCCGTGACTGGCATCAACATTTATTCGTTTACATGAGTCAAAAAAATTCAGTAATCTTCTCAGATACCTCTTCATACGTAGCTTGTTTTAGAAATTCCAGTTTATTTTTGCCCTAAATATTCCTCAAATCCATTCATATTCTCTATTTCCACCATCCCAAACTACTATGCTACGAAACTGCTATGAAAGCCTCTTGACTGGTTACCAACACATACTCTTGCTCCTTTTTATTTCAGTTCCAGTATTGCAAAGTGATCTTTTAGAATATAAACCTCATCAGTTCATTTCCTGATTTAACAGGTCCTTCTTCTCCTTTCAGATTGAAAACCAAGAAACAGACTCTTAACTACAAAGAACAAACTGATGGTTACCAGAATGGAGGTGGATGGGGGGATGGGTTAAATAGGTGATGAGGATTAAGGAGGGCACTTGTTACGATGAGCACTGGGTGTTGTACGGAACTGTTCTATCACTATATTGTACACCTGAAACTAATACTACATTGTAATGTTAACTAACTGGAATTTAAATAAAAACTTCAAAAAGAAAGATTAAG